AGTACTAGATTGGCAGTAAGATCTCTTCATTTTACAGCTGAAATAGTTAAACATAATCATAAGTTCAATGCTAAGAGTTTCTTTCTTTTGTACTTTTCACTTGAGGAATTCTCTTCTGGCTTCTTTGCTTCCAGTCGACTTTGATCTTCAAAAATTTAAATGCAATGTCAATCATTATTTTTTGTTTTCTTAATTGCTGTTCTTTTATTGTTTGCTCTATTTAATAGTATTTTCTTTTCCTTATATTTTTTGTTGGTTTAGATCCAATTAGGAATGACTGCAAAATGTTTACTCTTCCTCATTCTATGGGCAGAAGCACACAAACGCATGACAGGATTTTTTCAAGTCAATAAAATAGGTCAGTTCTTAATTTCACCTAACTCAGTCCTGGTCTGTCTTGTCTGGAAGTCAGAATGCTACATTCACTTGTCAGAAATTGCTTTTGTGTGTCAACTCCATTTCTTAGTTTTTGCCTTATTACTGTTGCTTTGCCTTGCATATATCTTTTTGCTTTCTTTATGGTATTTTTGCTCGGTTCTTTTTTCTTTTTCTTGTTATTGCTTATTATGAACTTTATCAATAATGTTTGTTAGGCAGTTCTGTTACTTGCATTTGACCATGGCTACTCACTCTACATTCTTTCACACTCAGTAACCCTTTGCATCTTAGTGGATTTATTGTCATGCTTGTCATGAAAATGATTAAAAAAAATATTGCATTTGTGCAAAAGAGGCTGCAGAATAAGAGATATTTTCTAATATTATGAATTCATTTCTCATGAGTGATTGACTATGGTCTTGTGCCAGACTATAAACTATGCTTAGGAAATAAAAATATCTGTTTGAAATAGAAAATCCTGTTTGGTAAATTTTGATTGACATTCAAATAGATATTTGTTATTGAATAAAGGAGTTAATTTGAGACAAAACCAGGTTTTATATTAATTATATGACTCCCTATGATAGGATGAGGAAATGAGAGCGAATAAGAAACATTTATAAATTTAACACATTTCACTTTTATTTAAGCTTCATCAGAAATGAAATATGATTGAGAAAAGAAAATTTTGGTATTTTTTTTATTTTTGTGTTTGTTTTTCATTAATTAAGTAGACTTCATGCATATTTGTCTTGTCAGGTAGCTTTTGTGCATATAATTCATGTGTGTATGTTTGTCATAAGTCTAGGTTTTTTATTTTTTTACATTGTTTGAACTGTTGTCTTTATCTTCATTGCCATATTCCTAACATTTTACGTTCTGGCCTGTTTCAGATGATATTTTTTTTTTTTTTTTTTTTTTTTTAAGCATTTCACCCCAAGCAAGGCGGGGAGCCACTAGGACGCAAGGAGTTACAGAAAATAGGAAGACCAGATAGGAGTGATAGAAGAAAGGATAAGGGTAGTAGATAGATTAAGGCAACTGGAGATGTTGATTGACATTACACTTGAATAGCTGGAGATTATAACTCTCAGGGAAACAGGAGAAGGGAAGAGAGTTCCACAGGCGAGAGGTGCGAGACATGAAGCTGTTAGAGTAGAAGAGACGGCTACATTTAGGAGTTTCGACAGTGAAGGGGTGAGAGCGGGATGCCAGCCTTGTAGGGCGCTTGAACTCATGAAGTTTGGGAACCAGCGAATGCAGTTCCTCGGAACAATTTCCATGAAAGTATGTTGGAATTTCAAACCAAACCGTTTATTTAGTTCATGAGAATAAATTGTTCTAATTCCAGGTACCATCCATGCCATTTTTTTATTGTTATCTCAGTTCCAGTTAATTTCTTTTAGTGATTCAACTCTCCAAGCATTTTTCTTTCTGCTAGGTTTTGAACTCATTACTCTTTGGTTTGAGTCATTATTTAGATTATTTCAACCAAAACATATCACCTGAAGAATGTGGGAGTGTACAATGGCCAAAACATTGTGAATATGACAATAAAGATGAGGACAATAATTTGAATGATGTAAATAGTGTAAAAAAACTTTGTTCAGACTGTTATCCCCATCTTTGTTGTCATATTCATGATGTTTTAACTGTTCTACACTCTGACCTACTTCAGGTGATTGGAATTTTGAACCAACTCCTTCATTTTGTCGACTGGTGTAGATTGTTTTAGCTCCACATGTCATGCCTCTTCCAGATATCTCAGTTTCAGTTATTTCCCTTTAGTAACTCGACTCTCCAAGTTTATTGAACTCACAACTCTTTGGGTTAAATCACTGCATTTAATCAACTCTTTTATCCACAGGGCCATGTATCCTTGGGGATATCTGTCTGAATTTTGGGGACTTATAAATCTAATGTCTCAGCAACTAATTTTACCAGAGCTCATATTACAATTTCTTGTTATTTTTCTCTAGCACACTCTATTACTGGTTCCTCATATTGAATACATGTTTAGGCTTGGCGATTTTTGTGGTATTGCTTGAAGTCTCTTTTCTGTCTTTTGCAAGAAGATTGTCCAGCATTTACTACCATATAGGAGATTAGATATTACATATCAGTTCAGTAATCTTTTCTTTGTTTTTAAAGATATATTTGTATATCTTAATACTTTGCCTGGTTTCTGAAAGAGATCTTTTGCTATTTCTTTATGCAGGACCAGCAACTTAAGCAGTCACCGGGGGAGGGGGCATCCTGACCCATGTCATATATTTTGGATCTTCCAAACAAAAAAGGAAAATGTCAAAATAATAAATAAAATTAAATAAAAAACAATATATTTAATATAATACTCAACAGAGCTATTAATTATTTATCAGAGAGATTTGAACATTTACAAAGGTTCAATAAAATATATAGATTTTGAAATAACCTGCCAGAGAAAAATAAACTCAATGTAGCATGTCAAGGTTTGGCGGACAAGTTGTTACCAAGAAAAGAGTAAATACATGTGATCTCATGACTGAACTGAATATTGCTAAAGAATTATTTCCTGAAGATCTAAAGCTTCCAATAGAATTTGTGAGGTTCGTAAACACTGACAAGTTACATGATGTCATGTAAAATCTGTGGGTAGCATTGAGAATAAAAAAAAAAAATTAATAATATGCTAAAAGGTATACATCATGCACAGATAAAGAGAATGAAGATTGGGAAAACTGAATGTTAGGCTGATGAGGATCCTTACCACACAATAAGTCACTAAAGCAAAATTCTTTAACTGAGGTAAGTCTGAATAGTTGTTAGCAAAAGAGAGAACCCAAGTTGTGAATTACATATCAGGGATGTCAAAATCAAGTACAGTAAAAGACAATGGAAAATACTATGCAGAAATCTGATGGTACAGAATGGTAATTGTAATATTAACCATCAGGTACTGGCAACTTGGGCAGTTGCTTGGGGTACCATCAAGTCTGAGAAAGCCATCATGCTCCTATGTCATGTGTTTGGGATCTTCCAAACAAAAAGTAAAAATGTGAAAATAATGAACAAAATGAAATAAAAAACAAAATATTAAAAGTAATACTCAACAGAGCTATTAATTCTTCATCAGAGGGATTTGAATGGTTACAAAGTTTCAATAACATATATAGATTTTGAAATAACCTAAAAGATCTGTCAGATAAAAATAAACTCAAAGTAGGATGTCAATAGCTTTGGAGTATAAGTTAAAGCAGTATTTCTCAATGTGGTCCAAGTAGACCACTGGTGGTCACATTTCATTTCTAGTGGTCCATATATCATTTCTAGTGGTCCACAGAGAATTCATAGAGATAAAAAAATTGTATTGATTTCACAAAAATGCATCTAAATAATTCATACTTCGAAGAATTAAAATATATATTTTGTTTAAATACACACGTCCATTATATTTGAAAATTTTGAAATTATGTAGGTATTACGTAGTGCTATAATTATTTTATTTTCATCATATATATTTATTATATATATATAAAAATGTTATATATACTATATATAATATAAATTTTTATTAAAATAAATTTATTCCTATTTTAATAGATAACTACACAATATTGTTTGATAATAAATAGAATTTTTTTATTTTATAAAAATAAAGTATTTATTATTATTATTATTATTATTTTTTTTCAGAACAGTTGTAAGAATATCTGAACCAAATTCTAATATCAATTGATTTTGATGTCCTCTGTTTATCTTTGTTTACTAAAATAAATTTTAAAGTGTAAATAGACTATTTTGTTTTGTCATTCAGTATTTTAGCATGGAAAATGAATAGCCTAAAAGTAAAAGTAGTCCATTTGAATTTATTTGAAGAAAAAAAAGGGTCCATAGGCTGAAAAAGGTTGAGAAGCACTGAGTTAAGGTATTAGGGAAAAAGTAATATTAATGGATGTGATCTCTTGACTGAATTAAATATTGCAAAAGAATTATTTTCTGAAGATGTAAAGCTTCTAATAGAGGTCTTTTGGTTCATAAACACTAATAAGTTTCAGAATGTCATGCCAAATCTGTGGGTTGCATTAAGAATAATGGCTACTATACCGATTACTGTGGCCCCCGGAGAGAGAAGCTTTAATAAACTAAAGCTTATAAAAACATGCTTGCGGTCATCCATGACTCATGACAGATTAAATTTTTTGGCTATTTTGTAAATAGAAAATGATCTTGTAAAGAAAATCAGTATAGAAAGTTCCATGAAAAAATTTGCAGATCTCAGGGTTAGAAAAATGTTTTAGGTAGGATAATGAAGGTTTTCTTTAGCTTGTATTAAGTTGTATATTGTAATAAACATGCTATTCTACATTTTCAGTTTTTCTTCTTGACAAAATTTTAAAAAATTATCCTTGTAAGGGCGTTGAATTTCAGCTTGCCTGTGGTGCCAGCAATTCTAAGTCCAGCCCTATCTATATGCTTCACATTTCTTTTTCACACTTCCTATCATCTGTTACTACAGTAGACAGAGTGTTGAATCTTTGTATCTGTTTGTTTTTGATGCCAATAATACATATATCACACCTTCAACTGATTCTTCTGTTGACACCTTTGAATATGACAAAAACTGTGAAAAATAAGAGGCATATCATGTTGAAACACTGGTTCTCCTATGATCACTAAAGTTAAGCAATGTTGAACCTGGTCAGTATCTAGATGTGTGACCCATTGGGAATATCAAGTGCTGTAAGCGTGGATGTGTGGGTGGTGTAATGTATAATGGATGGAATTGGAAATCAGAGAGCTGAGTTCCAATTCCATTCAGGTTTATTATATTCTTTTCTTTTCTTTTTATGCACCATGTCCCTTCAGGACGTAGGTGATCATGGCTCTCCACTTCTCTCTATCCCTTATAGCTCTCAGTAAGTTTTGTCCTTTTGCTACTTCCCCCAGGCCATGATCTGTCATCCACTTGATTAAGCTTGCTAGGTATGTCATGCATTGCTTTCCTTTGTCTATCTTTCCTTCTATTCGACCTGTGAGCATCAGATTCTGCAAGGTCTCCTTTCTTATGTGTCCCAGAAACTTCAGCTGCCTCTTCCTGATGTTAAGTATATGCTCCCTCATTTGCATCCTCTCTAAAACCTCATCGTTGCTCAAATGTTCAGTCCATGGTATCCTTAGCATCCTTCTGTAGAACCATACCTCCTTTGCCTCGAATCTCTTCTTCATCTTTAAGGAGACTGACTGTCCAATATTTGCTGCCATAAAGGAGGACAGATATCACATAACACTTCAGTACTCTTTTCTTTGTTGTAAACGAATTCCTTCTGTCTCATAATACTCTGCCTAGTTATTGGAATTTGTCTTTGGCCATGCCAGTACATCTTTGGATCTCAGTGTTCCACTTACCATCCTCTGTCACTTATGTGAAAATACCTTTAGGAAAGGTATGAATCCACCTCTTCTCTCCCAATCTATAGGTTAATTAGTAGCACTTGTATCAATAAATCATTATTATCTCAAAAATATTCTTACAATCTAAAAATATTTTATGGCTTTAAATAGCCTGCAAAAAAAGGTTGATAAGCCAAAAAAAAACCAAAAAAACAAATCAATCTTACCGAATTATTAATGACTGCTTTAGGTTTTCTACACTCACAAGATTCTCAGTTCTGGTTAAACTGAAGCTTGTCCAAAACATTATACTCCCACCACCATGTTTCATCATGGGGTCAGTAGCCTCTGGGTTTTATGACTCTCTAAATATAGGCAATATTTATATGGCCAAAGGTGACTAGATGGCAAGAGAAGACATTGCTAGCATAGAACTTACAGTTGCCACCTAGCCATTTCAACTTTAAAATGATGAGACCTTGCTACCAATCTAGTACTACACTTAAATTTGTAAAGTTGAGAGACTAAAGAGGAAAGTTCATCCAAACAATTACCATGAAAGTATTTATAGGAAAAGGCACAGGGAAGTTATGTTACAGTGGTGGGAATGTGACTGAAGCTGAGATGTCAGGTTAGGACCAATAACATTGCAGATTCTTTGGATTTTATCAAGAATCTCTAAATATATAGCAGAAGCACCAGATTAGCAATATTCAATGCATTGATGAATGGTAGATTTATAAATATGTAAGATAGAAAAAATTGCAATATAAACTCTGGTAAAAATGCAATAATATTAATAAAAAATTGCAATATGAACACTTTTTAAAAAAGAAAAAAAAGCAGAAGACCTAGCAATGCATTCAATATAATCTTTTCACTTCATGTCAGTGGAAGATTTTAATCTGAGAAGAATATGCAATGAATCACTCTCTTGGAGGTTAGCATCAGTTTTGTCTTAGAGGTGTTAAAATTAACAAGCCCCATTTAACAACAGATCAGCTGCCAATTTGACCTTGTTGAACCAATCAGACTTATGATTGACAGGAGCATTTGTATCCTCAGTGTAAACACCGATTTAAGAACTTTGAGTTGAGATATATCTATAAATTAATCAACCCAACCTAACTGATTTTTCTAAGCTTTTCTACTTCTAAAATCTCTCAATCCTCCAGTTTTCCCTGTCATCTCCTATTTCTTTGACTTTTCTTGCCTCTTTGCTTATTTTTGGCTTCAAATGTCTTGATTTTTTCCATTTCTATTCACTTTATGACCCAGTGATCTCACCCAGTATCCAAGTAGCACTTGACCAGGCAAATGAATCAATATCTCTCAGTCCAACCAAGAGTCACAAAGGAAAATTCTTTGTCCAGATGTTCCTGTAAATATCTCTAGATAATTGATTAACCATAATCCCAAATTGAGGCCAGAAACGTATTAACAACTTAATCAATATCATTTAGTCTCAGTTGGCTGATTTGACTAAATTTGATCAGTGATTCTGACAACATGAACAGGGATATGGGATACATTAAATCCTATAGATTACCAAATATGACTATAATGTGTTCATTGTGTCTATAGTCTAATTGTTCGATGATGATTAAATCAGACCTGCTAACTGGCATATTATGGTGGATATGTCTGTCAGAGGGTATCAATAAATCTATAGCCTGAAACATTGTTATTATGGGAATTTTGGTCAGAAGTTTTCACTGTATAATATTCGATCTGTATGATTAATATTCACCACTGAATTAAGTGCATTTACAAAGAATGAGATTATGTTGGAAAAAAACTCATTGCATGAAATAAATACATTATTTAATCCTGTGTTTCTCAACATTTTTAAGCAGCAGGACACCTAGGAGCAAATGAAAATATCACAACACACTTAGCATAATTTTTAAAAGGTATACATTTAAATGTTATGAACTAAAACCATAGATTTAAAAGATACACACACACAAATACAAACTTACTTTATTTCAATGTTTCTATTCAACTATCTCTGCAGCTTATTTAGTGTGAATGTTGTGCCTGGTGGCTTTTTTTTGTGATTTATTCAATGTTCCATCAAATGTGCGATAAGCAGATTCTCATTTCTTCCAGTTTATGATGTTATTTACGGTTGAGAAGCCTAATTCACATAAATAAGTAGAAAATTGCAGTAAAATTGATAAAGCCTTTTTAGCTAATGTGGGTAATTTTTTTGGTATTGAAATCCAAAATTGCATCAATGGGTACTGTTGCATGTTTAAAATAATATAATCGAAGAATAGGGAAAAGAATTATTTGAAGAAAAAATTTAATACTTATTCATTTATTCAAATACTAATGCTATATAATTACTACTTCTACACACACACACACACACATATATATGTATGCCATGTATATATATATATATATATATATATATGTATGTATGGTTGAGAATCACTGTTTTGATCATTAAGCTACAAGTGGCAACAAGTTATTGCAAAAAATAGCGAATATTTAACTGAATAAAACGTAATCATATGTTATTTTTGAAAAATATAATTGATATCCAAAATGGAAAATATTTATGACAATCTAACAGGTATTAGGTGAATTTTGATCTGAAGTTTTCACTATATAATGTTTATGTGAGTCAGTTCCCTGTACTCCTCCAGCAGGTACCTGACTCCTTCTGCTATCCTCTACCATTAAAAGTGCCAGATCTGGAGTATTGCTGCTATACATGGGCAGGAGCTTCCCAGTCTTCACTTTCCAGTCTCGATAGAATTCAAAAGCATTTCCATGTCCTTCTGAGTGACAAATTATTTTCCACTCCACAATCATTTTTTAAAACAGACAAGATAGCACAAGCCTCTCATTGCTCTATTACTGTTTCCATAGAAAATGTTTAGATGAACTATACTCCTTGGTTGTACTAGTTCTAACCTGCACAGCTAAGACCCAGCATACCATGCACATTGTTGTAAAACCACCCTCATTCCTTTTGTATTCATTTGTGAAATGTAAGTTCCTCTCAAGCAGCTTCTTCCCATGAACCACTGCCCTGTAGAACTGACTCCCAAGGGGTTACTTCCCCAATCACTACAATCTTAACCTGTTCAAGTCTAGAGTTAATGGTTATCTTCCACACATATCTGCATAAGCTGTGCTTCTTACTCAGTAACCCTCTACTTCAATTATCTTGTACAAATTGAACATCATTTTCAGCTATGAAGTTGATTTAAAAAAATTGAAATTATGAATTATTAGAATTTTTAAAAAATTCTCTGCCTCTCTCAGTAACTAATTTATTTCCAAACATTAAAAGTTTACACTATATACATTATTCGGACTATTGTCATCATCTTTGTTGCCATATTTATTACAATGTTTTGGCTGATGTTTGCTCCGGCCTTCTTCAAGTTGTTGGAATGTCAAACTGAACCCTTTATTTCACTCACTGGGGTAGACTGTTCTAGTTCCACGTGCCATGTTTTAATGGATGTCAGTTATCAGTTATCTCCTGTTAATTCCCCTCTCCAAGTTCTCCACCACCTTAACCAGGTATTGAACTCACACTCTTTGAGTCCTGTCACTGGATTAAAAAATATATAAAATGCTGATTATATTTATATGATTAATTTTTACAAGAATTAATTGCAATACAAGCTTTGTATGACATATCTGAACTTATGAACATGGAATCCAAAGTTATATGACATGTGTAAAATATACAACCTCCATCCCATAATAGGTATTACATTTGCATACACATTTCATGTTAATTTGGGAAAGAGGTTAACGTAAATATTATTTGCAGTCAGAAATCAATTATTGATTGATTGATTTGTTTTTATGGTTTATCAACCCTTTGTAGGTTATTTAAAGCAAAATACATAAGAATAATTCTATTGTTTTTGTAATAAAAGCGACTACCTTGCTGTATGTAATGACTAGTGAAGATAGCCTGGTTAACCGTTTCTACTAAACTCTGAATTTGATCCTCATTGTGTATCCAATACAAAATTCAATATTAAATAACCCAAGAGTTGATATGTTGCAAAATCAGCCCACCTCGCTTAATATAACAAAAGCTAAAAGCTAATTTAACTTACCTGTCTGTGAATATACACAACAGATCCCAGCAATCTCCAAGTGCCTCCCTGCCGGTCGACATGGAGCATCCGCAGGATTTGCAAAAACCGTATACCTCTGAAGAAAAAAAAAACAAAGAAAAATGTGAAAAGAAAGTTCAGATTAATTTTTTAGGTGGAAATGATGATGATTTATTTCTCGCCATCTGTTCAAATGAATGACAGAATTATTGATTTTTGACAAGTTTTTCTTTCATCAGATTTTGTCAGAAGGTTATACTTTATTTCTGCTACTTAACGATTATAGAATAGATACAGAAATCACCTGAGCCATGCAGAAAACAAACAGATGAAGTCATTCATCAGGTCACCCCATAGCAATCATACACTTCTTTCTGATGCTGTTTATATGTGTCAGCATAAGGTTTTCACTGGGAACATATATTAAGAGACACAAGACACTACTCTATGAATCTGACTTAGAATAATTATGTCTCATTCATTGTCCAGTATGAAGAATCTTTTTGCAAGACACCATTGCAGTTCAGTGCTACAAATCCATTATGTTAGATTCTGCTGCTGATTTCTTCAACTTAATTCTGTCAGACAGTGGCTTTTCGGGTATTATGACTTGCCAAATGGCAAAAATTCTGATTTTTAACATCTTTTTTGTTATGCTTCCATTTGGCTAAAAAGCATGGTAGAGTAATGGATAGCGGCTCAGATTGAGGAATCAGAGAGCCGAGTTCGAATTCCAGTTAAATCCATTACATTCACTTATGTGCTAATACCCTTGGGATAGGTATGAAACCTTTTCTTTTCCCTCCGCTATGGGTAAATAGGTTAGACTGGGTTCTGTAGCCTTAGATGGCAACTGGTCTACTGCAGAAAGAAAATGACTACCTACTGCAGGAAAAATCTGCCTCGTCAGTCATGTATCAAAAGATACATGATTGCCTAAGTGTGTATCACACATGGCACATAACTGACTGAATATAAAAAAAATTATTAGGTCTCAGGGTTACATATAATTTTGAATTCAAAGTTGTCCTTCCTCTAGACTGAATTACCAACCACAACTAGAGAGGTCCTGCTATTTAACCCATAGCTGGGAAGAGGAGGAGTCATGTCTTTCCCAAAAGAATTTGCATGTAAACGAATGTAATAAAATCTCAGCTCTACGATATCCCACTGGAGCCACCTTATCAAACAAAAGACAGAAAGAGAAAAGTTATCAAACAAAACTAAAAAAAAACATGCCAATATATCTAAGCAACATTTAGGAAAGAAAATTGTGTTAATGGGAACATATCTTAGGAGATACAAGGTGCTAAACAGTTTCTATCCAACTTATCCATTGTCCAGTATGAAGGATCATTTTTCAAGACACCATTGCAATTCAGTACCAAAATCTGGTATGTTAGATTCTGCCACCGACCACATCCAACATCATCACCATAATCTTGGCAGCATATAATTTGGCTGTTACAGTTTTGAATTCGCAGTTGCCCTTCTTCTAGACTGGTCACTAACCAAAGTTAGAGAGCTCAGTCTACTCTACTATTTAATCCATAGCTGGGGGGAAAGGATAAATTCATATCTTTCCAAAGGGCATTTGCTCATAAATAAATGTAACTAACTCGACTGGAATTTGAACTCTGCTCTCAGATTTCTCATTCTGACCAGCAATCCCTGACACCACTCACACATGCAATAAATAGATAAATAAATAAAATGAAATTAGGCAAAGTTTGAAGATAATAACAATGCATTCTTTAAGAAATTTGGGTGTAAAAATCAAAAGGTTAAAGAAGAGGCAAAACTTAATAATAATTGACAATAGTTCATCTAATAAATTCAAACAACTTATTGCATGAGAAATAAGATGAAAGAAATATTAGTTAATGACAATTGGCAGTGCCCTACTTAAGTAATGTGGATAACTTAAACCTATTACTGCTAGGAGAAATAAGGTGAAATAATAATTAGACAAAGATTAATGATAATGACAATGCTTCACTTAAAAAATTCAGAGACCTCAAGACAATTACTACAAGTTGTAAACACAAGAGTAGGTGAAAAAAATAAAAAGGAATAATTAACAGTGCTTCAATAAGAAATTCTGATTACTTAAGGTAATTAGTAAGTATAAAAGCAGATGAAATAAAATGGAAAACACATTGCACAATGTCACATATTATTTTGCAAGTCATGTTTTCATAATAAAATTATTAACCAACCATTGTTGATTAAATTTCTATTGTATACTTATATTTATATGATAAATATTCAATGTGAAAATTTGTTTTTAATAGAAATATTTACAATAACTTATTTAAAGGTGTAATTTGAGTGTTGTTCATCATATTGTAAATAAATATATAAAATAGGATACAGAATCCCAACAAAGATTGAATATGACAAATGGAAAACAGTTTCATTGAAACTAGATTAGATTATGCGTTTCACCTTTTCTAGGCTTCATCAAATCAAAAACGAAAATGCGTGTATATTTGTGAGTATGCTTAAATAATAAATATTTAATACTTTTTCCACTAAGCTAGCATTTCTTGTGATGAAAGAAAAGAACGAAATTGTGTGACTTTGTAAAAAGTCATTAATATTTATTCTATATAATTTTCATTTACAATTTTCTAGTTCTTGAAAATTATTTATAAATAATTTCAGCTTTTCTGTATTGAATTTAAGGCAAATCCTCCTCTTATTTTCAGAATGGCTTAAAAGAAAAAGGTTCATACAGACTTTTCTGAAATGAATTTAAGGTAAACACTTATCCATTTTTTTTCAAAATGTTCTGAAATTAAAAGATTTATATGTCTTTAGGTCTTTCCATGTGTTTTTTGTGTTGAAAATATGTGTATAAAATCTATAATCAATGAAAATCAAGCACAAACATGAATACAGCAGAATTTCTTTTCTTTTCTCCATATCTCATTCTCTGATGAGGCTTTAATTAATTTTTGATACACCCTGCATATATATATATTTGAAGAAATATGACAAATGGAAAAAAGTTTCATTGAAACTAGATTAGATTATGCATTTCACCTTTTCTAGGCTTCGTCTGATCAAAAACAAAATCTATGTGTATTTGTGTGTATGCTTAAATAATAAATCATTAGTACTTTTTCCAATAAACTGGCATTTCTTGTGATGAAAGAAAAGAATGAAATTGTGTGACTTTGTAAAAAATTAATAATTATTTTTTAATTTCAAATATATAAAGTTTTTCTGCATGCAAATCCGTTATTTTCAAGAAAGAAATTATCTCAAAAAAGATATCGTAATTATTTTTAATTTCAAATATATAAAGTTTTCCATGCATTATAAGAACAGAACCTTTAAATTATGTAAAATTGTAAAAATGTGAACATAGATCAGAGAACAATAAAAAAATTAAATAAACATACAGACACAATAAGAACAGGCAAAAAACTGGCTTTGGGAATGTCATAAAAACGGAATTTAGAAAAGTTAAATAGGTAATAGGCAAAAAATAGATTAACCATCAAGGAAATATTTGCAGATACAGAAAAGCTTGAAATAAACCAAAAGATGGAAGGATGAGAAATATTAAAATCTGAAGTGAAATTAGAAATGGCCAAACTGAAGAGCAACAGGACCAGATAGAATTGCAATGGAGATGCTGGAAGCTTTAGAGGATTTTGGCATTAACAAAATTACAAACATTTAAATAACTTATACAACAGCGGTGATATACTGGAAGGTCTAAATAGATCCATTTTTGTAACACTGCCCAAGTAGCCAGGTGCAAGTGAATGTGAACTCCATTAGACAATCAGTCTAATGAACGACATGACAAATCCTTTCATCCAAATTCTGATGAAAATAGCACATAGCAGAATTAGACTGAAAAAAGGACAATAATAGTATGATTTTGTTTAAGATACTAGAACAAGGAATGCAATGTTTATGCTCAGAATGATATCAGAATGAACAATACAAATGGAAAAAGAAGTATACCTGTGATTTATAGATTATGCAAAAATGTTTGATAAAGTATGCCACAAAGAACTATTAGAACTGCTAAGTTTGATTAATTTGAGAAGGATATTAGAATAATCCAGAATTTATACTGAGAGCAAACCACCTGCATGTGGATAGAAAATGAATTCAGTAAATATACAAGAATAGAAAAAGGTGTAAGACAAAAATGTCTTCTCACCAGATTTATTCAACCCATGCAGTGAGGCAATTAAAAATCCTACGAGGATTCATTATTGGTGGCCACAATCTTAACAATATAAGATATGCAGATGACATAGTGTTGAGAACAGAAACAAAAACAAGACTACAGGAACTCCTTCAGATGGTAGGGAAGGAAAGCAAAAAGAAAGGAATAAACATAATTATAAGAAGACAGAATGTATGGTCGTTAGCAAAAGGAACAAACCAAGATCAAAACTATGAACTGGAGATGTCAAAATCAAGCAAATACAAATATTTAAATATTTAAGAAGTGTATTAACAGAGGATGAAAAATACAACACTGAAATCTAAAGCACATTGGAATAGTGAAAGATGCCTTCCAGATGTTAAGCAACATATTAAGAAACAGGAAAATTTCATTAGAAACAAAGAAAAGAGTACTGAACTTTTATGTAATATCAGTCCTCTTATTTGGCAGTGAATGCTGGACAATCTCCTCACAGATGAAAAAGAAACTTAAAGTAACAGAAATGTGATTCTACAGAAGGATGCTGAGAATACTGTGGACTGAATATGGGAACAATGACAAATTTTTAAAGAAAATAGAAATGAACAGGATGCTTATACATAGCATCAGAAAGAGATAGTTGAAATTTCTAGGACACATGATGAAGAAAGAAAGCTTGGAAAATTAAATGCTCACAGGACATATTGAAGGTGAATGGGACAGAGGCAGGCAGTGAATAACCTACCTAATGAGCCAGTGTAAATGGTTGGCAGAACAAATATAAGGTAAGATAGCAAAAAGAAAAACACTGCTAAGAGCTACAAAGGATAGGGAATTGTGTAGAATCATGATCATGCACGTCCTGAAAGGACATGGCACATAAAAAAGATGG